TATGTAGAAAAAATACAGTCTTCTGTTATCTATGAAATTAGAAACATGATCGTCGTTTTGTGCAAGGGTGGCGCAAGATTATTGCAAAATTTCATGTTTTCCGTCCCCTTTTGCATGTTTCTCGGAAGCAAAATGAGCAAGAACGCTCGTTTTTACATCATTCCAGAGATAACTAAATTGCCTTTATTCGAAGTTTCTCAAGAACCATTCGAGCCACAGAATTCGTTTTGGCATCGTTGGATAGAGAATTGAATGTGGGGGGGTCATGACCCCCACGACCCCCCCTTGGATCCACCCTTGAAAAGGGGGAACCGTCGGGGGTCTTCTAAGTCGCAGCTTTATGTGAAAATTCTGCTTGTTTGAGGCAATTTAGAAAAATCCTCAAAACACATTTTAGGGAATAAATTAGTGGACCAAATACTGTCTCTACTCTTCTCTCCCGTGAAACAAAAATTCGGCTAAAAATTAACCTTCCAACGTGCAACTACTTGTTTACACATGCAATTCAAGAAAATGTAAAATTTTCCTGCGTTATTTTTTACTATCGACGCCACTAAATCTATGCATTTGTAATCTCGCTATTACTCAAAGCACATTTGAGTTCATATTCAACGTCGAGCGTAAAATGGGTCTTAAATAAATAAAACCGGTCAATAGATAGCGGTAGAAAATAAAACACATTTTTTTTGGTCCCAACTAAAATATCGTTTTGTTCCCGTAGTAGTAGGCATGATTTCCCAATAAAAATTATCAATTTTCTATTAGGTTTAGATCCAGCAGGGCCACTTTTTGAATCCCAAGACACCAGAGCGCGACTGGACGAAACAGACGCTTCTTTTGTGGACGTGATCCACAGCAATGGGGAGAATTTGATATTGGGCGGCTTGGGTTCCTCCCAGCCAATGGGACATGTGGATTTTTACCCCAATGGGGGCCGAATGCAGAAGGGCTGCAGCCATTTATTCGTCGGAGCTGTTAGCGACATCATTTGGTGTAGGCTTGCCATTGGTCAAATCTCTGAGCTTGTGTGATTAAGTCGGAATTTTAGCTTCAGCTGTGGAGGGTCGCTCCTTGTGCAACCATCGCAGGGCATATAAATTCTTCATCGATTCAGTATCGCCTCGGTGCCATTTTCCTGCCTTTCCTTGCGACTCCTATGACAACTTTATTTCTGGAAAGTGCTTTCCCTGCACTGAAGACAGGTTGGTTTGCCCAAATTTGGTGAGAAATACTCAACTTTTGCTTGCAGAAAATGTGGCAATATGGGCTATTACGCGGATCGCTCTAAAGGTCGCGGCCAACTTTTCCTGATCACCAGGGAAGAAGAGCCGTTTTGTGGTAAAGCTCATAAAAATTTCTCTTTGGGGAAACTCCAAAAGGACATTTCTAGCTCACCAATACCTCGTGCGGATTGAAACCAGCCCAAGCCCCACCCCAGTGAAAAGCTATGGGAAAATCCAGGTTACTTTAATAGGCGACTCGTTCCTCAACGAGACCTTTATGCTAACCAAAAAGGAGGACGAAGAAATGAAGCTGGGAGAGTCGCTGTCCAAGATCGTGGTTCTTCACCCCATTTTATCCCAACCTACGAAAATCGAGCTACTCTACACTGCGTACAGTGGCTGGCTCTCATCCGGATTAACGCAATGGAAGATCGACAAAGTCACGCTAATGGACAGTTTTGGAAAAGTGTAAGTGGCAACCGACAATAAATCACTAGATTTTTTAAAGACTGAATTGCAGATCGTCGATGTGCAAAGAGGCCTTGGTTCTGGAATCCGGCATTCCAGTAACGCTGTCCCTACACCCCAATGATTGTAATGAGGCCACAAGTGAAACTGAAGAAGAAGAAATTCCGATGCAACAGGCCGAAAATGTGCATCCAGGCTATCTAAGCAACAAAGAGGGTAAAAATGGTGCCTCTTCAATCAGCCCAGTCTTCACTGAGGAGGATTTTGCTTTAGAATCAACGAATCTTGTGGATATGGAGACGGAATCCAGTAGGGCTTTTAACAGTCGCGTGATAAAAGCGGATAAACTGAACAAGAACAACGTGGATGGCGACGGATTGATTAGGGAAGTAGTGGAACCGATTCTGAAGACCCATTCGGTGAAAAATGGCCGGGCCCACAATCCAGGCAGGGGAAAATTGGAGATTTCCGAACCCATTCTGGGGCCCACGACTGTCCGTTCTTTTGCGCCAGAGGACCGGAAGGAAACCGATAAAGAACCCAGCGATTGGGCTTCGCAGCAAAACACTGGCGAAAAATGGAAAAGGGAGGACGAGTCGAAATCGTTGAAGAACTTTGCGTCTGCCCACAGGCAAGTACTCACGGTATTATATATAATATTACTAATGCGGTTTATTTTGTTTTAGATCGCAACAAGCGCCAAACGGTACTCCTCTGGAGGCAATAGTCACCACTGTCCAATTCCTCCCTCAACGCTTAGCGCGGATGTTTGAACAAGCTGAAAAGTATGCAAGGGAAACGATCCTGCCCCTAGTAAGCACATACACTCCTCGGTTTATCTCCGAGTTCATCGGCCCCAGACAGGAGCCCAAATATGTGCCGCTTCACTACGAAGAAGACGAGGTCCAACAGACATCATCATCGAAGCGGATCTCAACGGAAAGTGGGGCCCGATCCAGAAACCTGCTGTTGCCACTTCAAGAGGAGAAAACTGCCAATGAGCAGGTTACAGAAAGAACCTCCACCCCATATACTCACATTCAGAGAATCACGAAAAAGACTGAACAAACACCCCCCAGCAATTCGCTGCCCGAGTCAACCAGCAAACGATCTGAACGTAAGGACTTAAGTAGGAAAACTAGGGATCACGGGGGAATTGGCAAAATTGGCTTTGGCGATGATGGTAATGCGAAAAAGGAAATTTACATTAATTTGCCGGTATTCGACAACGATGTTCTAGCAGTCAAGTATATTCCCATAGGCGAAGCCTCCTAGCTCATAGAGCTGCTTTAGAAGTATCTATTTATTCTTGTTGATTGTATAGTAGGTAGTTGTTAAATATTTGGTGGGAATCTGCGTTGTGATTCAGTTAAGGGTATGTAGATTAGATCAAGCAAAGTATTGGTGGCTTTTAGACAATTAGCGCTCGGGGCAAGATCATCATTGGCAAAGCCAACAAGAGGGACTATTTCTAGTTCACCCAGTACACGACTGTAAATAAAACACTTTACAGGGTGATTCTAAATTGGATTCATTTCTAGGTACATTTTGTTAATTAATTGCTAAATTTTTTCAACTTTCAAACATTGCCTGAACAAATAAAGTGAAAGTTGTGGACCATTCATCGAATCGTGAATTTCCTCTAAAAATTGAAACTTGTACGATTAAAAGACTGTTTAATACGAATGTTGTGCCGAGCTTGGCACTGTTCGAGAGCAACAGAAGATAAACTCATTAGTTGCTAGTGTTTCCTTGGTTTAGAGCCAGTGTCGTGCCCGTAGGGCTCGGCACAACTTTTGCACCAACAAATTCCCAATGAAAACTTGAAAATTGCACAGTTCAGGGACGAATTAACGTGAAAGTTTTATCGAGCTCTTCGGGTACAACACATAAGGCATCAGCATGCTGCACAGTTTAAAAGCAATTTAATGTGAGATTTTCCTAGTTTGTCAAACTGGCGAGTTTACGTGTGGCTTTTACGCAAGTAATTCTATAAGAGCAAGAAAAAATTGAACAAACCACATTTCGCGCGCGCTTGCCTGCCTGTGCAGTGCAGAACAATTCTATAAATGTTGAAACACCTCGTACCCAAACCCATTATAAGAGCAATTATAAGAGACATTTGCTGCCCTCCAAAGTGAAAAGATTGTAATCTAACTAGGACTTAAACAATAAAAAGCCTCCTCAAACCACCCCAACTCAGTTCATTACTTACTTGCTCTTCTGTCTCCACTGTGCTTCTTTTAACACCCACTAATGTTCTATTCTATTTTCTATCTTCTTTCTCCTTGTCTTTTTCAGATGCCAGCTCTTCCACTTCGTCTTCTCTTAACACTAACACCAGTCCACAAATCAATATAAAAATCAATTACGGCCAGTCTGAGCCAGCGGAAGCTCGTGAAGACTTAGCCGAAGTAGTTACCAGTATTCCGAGCGGTACCAATGCGACTTTAATGCAAAGAATGGCAACCACTTTGCAAAGCATTCCGGATAGTTTCGCTAGAATGCTGGGGCAGATGCAGAATTACACCAGAAGGAATATATTGCCGTTGGTGCAAAGCTACTCGCCTAGACGACTTTCCGATCTTATATGGATTAGACCGAAGCCGACCGGTATTATGAAGATTGAGCGAAATAGGACCAGCAGTGGCACGATGCAAGGGCAAAACTTCAGCATTTCTTGGGATATATCCAGGGACTTTAATGAGAGCAGTACTGAGGAAGAGAGTGCAGAGGAAACTACCACTGATTTGCCCTGGACTTCGACTGTGGCTTCCACCACGGATAGTCGAGATTTATCCAGAGGCTACTTTCGTCCAGTGCCCCCAATAACGGAACCCATCTCAAGACAGGCCAAGGTTTTGAAAAACCCCGATATAATTCGCAATACAGTTTTCCGCACGATATTTAGAGATCTGAACGTTACCATTCATAACAACAAGGATATCCGGACTGAACCGGCAAGTACAACAGTGAAAAGCTTCACAGTGAGTGGATTTAGCGATAAAATTGACGGCGGCAGTCCTCAGCACGTTCAAAGGATCCCCAAAAGAGGACAAAAGGCGAATTATCATTTACCCCAACCGTTTACCATTGCCATTGACCCGAACGACTTAACCACTACCTCAAGACCAACCACTAGCACCACGTTCAAGTCCACTACTCCCAAGGAATTCGTTTCGTATGTGCAGAAAATTCCCAAAAAGAAAACCGTGGGCAAAACTCCCCAGTATAAAGTGATAAGGAATCATCCTGTGAAGAAGGACTTCAATATAGGGAACAGGGTGTTCAAAATCAAGCACCCGTTGGGCATCGACCTGCGCTATCGCATTAACAGTGATGGCAAATATGAAACATATTAATTAAATGTACAAAGTATCTATAAGCGCAGGATAAACCTATGTATATATAGAATATATTCACGGTCTTTTATAAGATTGCTATGATCGCACAGAAAGAGGCTTCAACTATTTGGGCATCTTACATAAATATAGGAAGAATACTAAAGTAAACTGTGTAACAAAATCTTTGATAACCCAAAATGTTCTTCCATTTCTTAGAACAAAGCACACACAAAGGTGTCAAGATATATTAAATTATCCTGCACGAGTCACAGCAACGTAACATTCTCAAATAAAGTAACAAATGTATAACTTATTGCCTGTCCGTGATATATTACTTGTATATATTTACTTATCTATTTACCTAACGAAAAGTCGTAGCGCTATTAAGTAGTGACCAACATGCGCTTCTCACAAAGAAACGTAGCTACTATTGACCGCTACACCTGATAGAAATGTTGTGATGTAAATCTGTCTCCTAAATAGGTGTAGAAAGTGAACTATTTCGAACTCTCTGAGCCCAATAGCAGAAACAATTCCCGTAGGAAGCACATTTTGGGCGGCCAAACAACGAAAAATAATACTTGTCTGGAATGTTAAATGCAAATGGTTCAATTCAATTTCAACAAAATTCAACAGAGCCGGAAATTGCTTTGAAAAACCCGTTTTACTATAAAAATACGAATTGCACTTGTAATCAGTAATGAGTGACTTTGTCGGCCTAACGACTAAATTACTACAGGAACTAACCTGGCTATTTGCCGCTCCATTCACTTACTCGTCCATTATCGAACGCCAGACACCGTCTAGGCACCGGCACTAGCTTACCTCGCTTTCGAATTTCCATGTTTTCCCCTTGGAAATACTGACACTGCGAAATGAAGTCCAAAAGAACCGTTCCCAGCTTTCTGCTCGAATCCATTAAATGCTCCAAACTATAACAAAAATCATACACTTTCAGTGAGAGTTAGATGCGATTTCCCTTAAACAAAAGACATTCAGGAGTTTTGCGAAAAACAATGTAGAACGTTTAGCTGATTTATCCATCGAGAGCATTTAAAGAGCGATTGTCTCCAAGCCGTTTGGAGCAAACTGCGACAAATGTAACACACAATTTATTCAGCGCGAAATTCGACACGAGGAAACGCAACTAATAAAAAATATTTTTATCTACCACAAAAAGGCACTATCGGAAACCACAGAGAGGCAGTAAAACAACTCATATTAACGAACACTTTTTGCATAGACCAAAATCAAAATTAAATTAAATGATGCATGGTTTGGACTGCGGAAAATAGCAAAAAAGCGACTGAATTTAACACAATCAAGTGCTTTATTCTGATATCGCGAGATTGAGCGAAAGAAAAGCTCACCTTCACAACGTACTTGGAGGCCTTAAACGCAGACCGAATAAAAAAACTCAAACACCGTCCTTATTCAACAACGAAAAAAAATCACAGCATTTAACCCAAATCGACTGTTTATCTACAGTCGACGTACGAACACAAATATTTACATAAAAAATAAACAAAACCCAATGAACCAGGCCGCAGACAATAAGTGAAAGTAAATATAAAGTGACTGGAACTGTAATTTACCTCTCCTCATCTGCGAGTCCACCAGACACTAATGCGTCACATATTTTGGTATTTGCGTCAGCATCGAACAGCGGAATTCCAAAGTGACAGTCCAAAATAGTCCAATTCTGCGAAAACAGCCTTTTGAAACAACCGCGGACTATAACACTCCCTGCTCCTTACCCTAGTTGACTCATCCTCCTCCTCCTCCTGGCCTATGTGGTTCTCCAGCTGTGTCTCCTCCTGGTCCTTCTCCTCGATTCTGCTGAAAATGCCCACATGCTCATCCGCAGGGCTTAGAAGCTGCTCAATTGAGTCCACTCGATCTAGCGCAGCACGCGTCTGATGATCCTTAATGTCTAATTGGTCCAGCTCCTCTTGAATCAACGTAGAGCAGTCCTGACTGGAAAAGCATCTTGCTAACCGAATAGAAATCCAATGCGGCAATTTTACCTAGTAAAGCCGTTGGTCGGAGACGACCGATGGCTTCCACTGTCCACCGGTGTGATGGCAAAATGCGATTCAACTGGGCTGTGCAATTTCGTTTCATCCAGCTCCCGTTTCATAAACCGAAAGTTTTCATTGGACATGCTGGAGCTGTCGTTCAGCTTCGCACTTCCAGGCTTAGCTGAGTCTAGTGATTGAACGAACAAACATAAATAGCATTTAATCCTTTTACATGTTTACCTTTTAAGCGGACTTGAATGTTTTCACCCTTTGGACGCCCAAAATCTAAAACGCCTACATTAGCAAACGTTAGGTAGCCGCAACTGTGATTGAGATCCAGCAGCTCAGACAAAACGGGCACAGCTGGATGCTTTGTAAGTCTGTCTAGTTCGGAGTTGGGCGAATTTTTCGAAAACATAGCCGTCGATTTAAAGGGAAAAGGCAACAGCTGGGTTTCCGCTGGATAATGGACGCCAAATCCCTGCACCAGCACAGGAGCGAATTGCAAGGTGGCATTAACATACAGAATGTTCGCTATTGGAATCACTGCAGGCTCATGCAACCAGGATGTCACCTAAACAAAACAACTGTAAACCTATCGAGATTTGTCCATCCGTTTGAACACTACCAATAGTCGGGAAAAGCCAAGAAACATTCTAGGGAGCCGCTTCAGTTCGGTGCCTTTGCACAAGAGCAAACTGGGCGGCCCATACCCAGTTACGTAATACAGAAACATCCTAAACCAAAGGCTGTTTATTTCTGGATGCGTCGGACCTAGAATCGCTGGCGGCATGCTCGATAGCGGGGAAATTCGCACCTGGAAAACAGTCAGTGAAACGTCCAAATTTTTCCAGTATAAGGACAAATGGTACGTACATCTCTGCCTAAAGGAGCCATGGCGATCAACAGCCGATATTTGCGCTTCAGTAGCCTCTGGCAGGCAGCTTCATCCAGAGAACTGAGACTCTCTAGCCGCACCAAATCCAACCCTGGGCCGGGAATTTTTCGCAATGCCAAAATCGTGGATCTAGAGAAAAAACCCTCACAATCCCCAAAAATCTCATGCATCCCATTTTACCTCAATATAACCGCGTGATCGAAAAACCGCCTTGCCTCGCCCTCACCATCTGCATCCATAGCGGAAACTTTCTCCAGCTCAGCCAAGAAACTATCCAGGCTTTCATGCTGCAACTTGCCCACCTCGAACATGGTCACAGCATGGCGTTTCAGGCCAGGCGACAAGTTGCCCATCATCAGGAATGCGGTGAGGGCGGAGTCATAAAGGAAAGCTATCCGGAAGCCTGACTGGTAGCTGGAATGTGGGGAAAGAGTGGGACTGTCGCTGGGCGGATGGTCGGACGTTGGAGTACATGGCAATGCTGTCGTGCTCGGAGAAAACAGGGGCAGCGTTAAAGGCGTGATGTCCACTGGGCTTCTGAAAATTTTCTTTATCAGCTGGCAATTGTGAATGTTGCATGCAGGGTGTCTCTACTAAGTAAGTGCTCGAACCAAAGCTGTCCAGAGCGCTCAATAAATATTTTTCCGACGTTTAAACCCGCTTACAGACACTCTGTATTGTTTACATCCCCTATAATTACCGATCGATATCATCTGGCTTGTTCAACCACGATGGATCTCTTCGTGTTCTTTCCTGTTCGGTTTCTGGATCCAGTTTGCGAGCGAATTGTAGGCGGCAATAAAGAGACACTGCCTGCTTAACCAGCTCAGTGTCCACTTGCAAAACTGTGGCCAACTGGGTAAAAATAACAGTCAGAAAAGGGCTAATTCTAGCTTTATACGCCTCACCTCCCCCACAGTGGTATGATCGTCAATTGACACGAAAATTTTGTACAAAAGTGTTTCGAAGTAGTCGCCTAAAATGCGATTCATTACAAACCCTTGCAATGGTGGCACCTGCACTCGATCTACTGCTGTTACAGGCACATCCAGGTATATTAAACCTTTCCTGAAAACAGGCCAAACTTTACAATTACTCTACACTATTTGTGCGTTTTATTTGAAATATTATTTTTCAATGATCGGTTTGGACTATTCAAATGCCGATGCAGCTGCCATTCAAGCACTCTACTTACTTATATAAATTAAGTACAACGTCATAGTTTAAATCGCCTGCATTTTGCGAACCCAAGTCTATCAGTTTGTCGATCACTGATTGTTCTTCCTGGTTAACCATCTGAAAAAAGCCTAATCAGGAAACAGCGCATACAGAGAAAACAGTCATACTTTAATGTCCTCTTCCAAGATAAGCCCTACTTCGACCCTCCACCATGGCTGAATGTGGATATTAACAGGGACTTTCGGCAACAAACCCCTGACGTTTCTTTTACCAAATAGTCTACTTCTATTGGATCTAGACTGGTTGATTAGCTCTATGTACTCGTTTCTGCCAATCCCCAAGAGCCTAAGGCCTGACAACACATTTTACTAGGTAAAAATCTCCCTGCTTGCGACACTTACAATCAGCCGCAGTAAAATTGGGCAGAGTGTCGTAACTCTTTTCAGCTTGCATCAGTTTCTCCAGTATAGCAATGTAGTAATTGAAGGGCGTTATTCTTAAGCCTTTGACTATCATATCAGCCAGGTGGTATGGAAATAGCATGAGCCGTTCCCTGCTATAAGCCACCATACGTTCATAGTATCGTTTTTCATCTTTCAGTGCATGACGAACTACAAATCAATCTAAGTTAGATCCAAGATTAACTCATACGCCTTATGAAGCGATAAAGATATGCAATAAAGATAAGAAAACTACACTGGGGGCGCATGGTGAAAACTTACCTAAGTTTCCCCGATACCTAAACTGGTTCTGTATGCTGAAATTAACAATATATCGCTCGTAATTCTTTCCGGAATTGTTGAGAATCTGAAAAACATTAAGCTCCTGCTGTTACCTTGTTTATTTTGGTATGTTTAAAGCATATGAGCAATAGTAAAACTAATGTTTTACCTGTTTTATATGCGTAGGCAGCCGCGACCACGGTATTTTCTTGCGGATTTGATCCTCCACTTCGGCGTTCATGTTTTACAATACTTAATCACTCTAATATGTATTGCATTTTTCCGAAAATCCTGATAAAGTTTTAGGTTTTAAAAATGCAAAAGTCAAAACAAACCAGGATCTGACGTTATCGTATCTTATATGTCAAGGTCAGATTACCATTGTGGATCGAAGGAAGGCCACCACTTATACTTCATAAACATAAGAATCATAATTTTTCAGCAAAATTTAATTGAGACAATTTTCACAAATTGCTAAGAGGCTCTAGTGAAATTAGGGTTGCAAAACCGAGCTGTAAGCTCAAAGAAAGTCGAAAATCACAAACAAGAAGTCTTTCTAGACAACTTTGAATTCGGCTTTGCTTGTCAGTGTCAGTATGTCATTAACTTTTCGTGTATAATGGTGGAGATGGCAAATCTGTTGTCAAACATTGATATTTATAAGAGAAAATTGCTTTAAACATGTTTATAATAAACAAATAGCTTCAGTTCTGATTGAAACTTGCCATATTTAACTATGTCTGTGTGGTGAAATGATTCCCCGCCTGAGCCATACGAGACTGAAAGCCACATGGTGTAGATAGTGAAGACAGTTTATCCAGATTCAGATAATATGAAGCCGAGGCTTTTGAGCCATGTGATTTTATTTGTGCAACTGTATATTTCAATATGGGCACAAGAGAGCTGCTCCAGCAAGTGCGTGTGCAAAGCAAACATCCAAAAAGATAGTGGAAACTTCGTAAAAATTACATGTGGGGAGACCGAGAAAATAACTCATCTAGATGAGCTGGAGCTGCTTAATATAGCTAATGAATTGGTGCAATTGTAGGTAGCTTTTGCGGGGCTTCGACCACAAGAGTTTGAATGATGATCTGTTTCAGGAATCTCTCAAATAACAACCTGCAGACATTCTCGCCAAAGGTTGAACTAATAGCCCTTCAAAAGTTGTAAGTACTAATTAACCAAATCTAAAACCCCGAAAACACGTTATGGCTTCAGGAATCTCAGTGGTAACCAAATCACTCAGCTAGAAGAACACCAATTTAAAGAAGTACCAAAGCTGAAGCGACTGGATCTGTCGGCCAACAGAATCAAGCATGTGGATGTAAAGGCATTTCTGAACCTCAAGGATCTAGAAAAGCTGAAATTAAACAACAATGAAATATCGACGATTACTTTAGGCACTTTGGATGCCATGCCCAATCTGAGACAACTGTATGTAATAACTACGAAACGGGTTTGCAGTTGAATTCAAAGCTCTTTTGTGTTTAAGTGATATATCAAACAACCCTCTGCAATGCGATTGTGGGCTGCTTTGGATCCTGGATTATGCATCGAAGCATTCAATAAAGTTAATGTCGAACCCCAAATGCAGCAGTTCTACATTCAAAGGCATTCCACTTAGGAAGCTGAAAGTTGGGGTCGATATTCATTGCAGATCAGCATCGCACAACAGTTTGTTGCCTTTTTTGGATTTGCAACCGGCTAATAATCAGGTTGTATTCGAGGGCGATGCCCTTAAGCTGCACTGCAAAGCCCCCAGCATAACTGACAGCACAAACGACTCCAGGTTTGCTTACCTACTTTATTCGTGTTCTGTTTCAGAATAAATGCATACTCTTTTCTAGGCTTGACTGGTTGTGGCTAGACTCCAATCCAAAGGACCATTTTAGTGATATTTCCATTATAAATGATTTCCTTCCCAATGCGGGCATTATTGATAGTGTTTTGTACTTAAAGAAGTTATCCAGATCGCATACCGGGCTTTGGTCGTGCCTGTTCTCCTCCACCCAAGGAAACCATTCCAAAAGTACAGCAATTCTTGTGATCTCTGATGACACAAAGTAATAAACTATTTAGCTGACATGTTCTTTGATTATAAGGTATGGATTTTTCTTTCAGATACTGTCCAATGACTACAACAAAAGGCAACAAAGGAACTTACATTTGGCCTAGAACCATTGTAAATTGCACTGTCAGCATACCGTGCAAGTTCTTAAACGATTACTATGATTCTTCCTACCAAACAGTATCGCATTACTGCTCATCGAATGGAACTTGGCAGAGATTGAATTCGTCGCGTTGCTCATATATTTCGGACACTACAAGAATATTGGAAGGATTTTCAAAAGTGCATAACAGCATACTGGAAAGTGCGCGCCATTTGAAGGAATACACCACCAATATCAGCATTTTCAAAGATGTGATGGATCTGGTTTACACAGTGAAGACCATTGAAAGCTATGCCAGTTCGCAACCCAGTGAACCTCTGAGTAACATTTTAATGGATGTTGTGAACAACTTGATCAATCTGCCGTGGTATTATTTGAAGAAAAGCGACGCAGAGCACAAAAGTTGCTCGAAGCTGGTCGATTTTATTGAAAGTTTGGCTTTAGCCAATCCGAATGTTCTGTTTCAAAGAGTAAGCACTTGCTAAACTTGTGCGTTGTTCAATAAAAACTACTTTGCCTTTTTAGGAGAGTTTTATCGTACAAGCCTTTCCTCTGGATAAAGGAAGCTTCTCTGGCCTGAAGTGTTCATGGTTTCGAAGCGAAGTTAATCCTTTCGATTCGATATTTTCATGCAACAGCAATAACAACATACCAGACTCTACAGCTTTTCAAGGGCGGAACATTGAAACCTCGATTATAATTCCCGATAGTATTTTCAACCAGACAAAATCTCAGGTATGGTTTTCAAATTACCCCATTCAAAAGCTTCAAATTCTGGAGTTTCAGGCTGATGCAGATGCGAAAGATTCTAGTGTGGTGGTGTCAATACATAGTTCTAGTAACTTTTTCCCAATTGATGCTACACGAGAAGGGAATGAACTTGTGTCTTCAGCGGTGATAGGAGTGAAAATCGGTAAGTAACTATCAGACCTGAAAACCACAACTTTTACATTGCAAGGGATTTTTAGTGGGGTCTTATCAAATCGAGCCTTCACACCCGGTAATAGTAACCATTCGGGCACCGCATTCAACGTCTTATGAAGTGGCGCCTTTTACGCCCGTATATTGGGATCAAGCCGCGGGAAATTGGTCTGCTGATGAGTGCCAATTTGGGCATCACTGGCAGGATTACATGGTATTTTCCTGCAGAAAACTCGGCTATTATGGACTAATGCAAGAAGTCGCCTACTCCAATAGTACTGTAAGTAGTTCTGCAAACTCACGGGCAGTTTGCAAATAATGGTCAATTGCAGGAAACATATCCAGGCGTCTTTCGATTGTCGCATCCAGCCATCTACGTGGGAAACGCGCTTTTATTCGTCTCACTGCTCACGGCGATTTTATCCTACATTTTGGGATTTGTCTCGATACAGATGCCGAAGAAGGCAAAGCACTGCCTGATCAACACTTGGGCAGCAATCGCTTTGTTGTGCTTTATCTACTCTTTCGGCATCTATCAGACGCAAGATCAGAAGCTGTGCCAGATCATCGGCTTGATTTTGCACTACTTATCGCTCTCCTCTTTGCTTTGGATGTGCGCTGCTGTGAACACCATGCATAAAAGGCTGAGCAAGAATGGCGAATCAATTTTACAAGTGAGGACCCGTTAGTCTGTTTACCACTTAAAGTAATTTTTGGATTGTTTGCAGGATGACGATCTACCAAGCGAGCAGCCAATTAAAAAGCCTGTAATGGGGCTGTATCTGGTGGGATGGGGCGTAGCCCTAATTGTTTGCGGCCTATCGGCTGCTATTAATGTCCGAGAGTATGCCTCACATTCTCATTGCTTTCTCCGCACTGGCCCAGCTTTGAGCGCTCTGTACCTGCCCTTTATGATCTTGTGCATTTTCCTAATCGTGTTCTTTTTGTTGATTCGATGCGCCATCAGTAATTTGGATTTATCGCACGGAGGGCACTTGAGTGAAGGTAGTAGCTCATGAGGGCATGTCTGGAAGTTATTTTTAAAATCTGGTTTCATTCAGGCACGCAAGCCACTGAGCATGTGGACTTGGATCTTCTCGAACCAAACTTTCCTCAGCAGGACAACAGAAGCCTAAGAAGTTATTCTTCGAAGACAGCGTCTAGCGAAACTGAAGACAACGAGCGTTCGCCTCTAGCTCAGCTTAAAGCCCATGTTATTTTTGTTTTTCTGTATATGTGTACGTGGTTGAGCGGGGCGTTTGCCACTGTTCCCCCAATGGGCCTAGTTGCTTACGAAGCTGAGCTGTTTAGTGGAGCCTTTGTAATATGCGCCACGACCTTAAGTGCATTTACTCTGTTTTTTTATTGCGTGGCTAGAAACGATGTCAGAACCCAGTGGATGTCGATGTTTAGGTGCGGACTTCGGATGAATCCAGTTATTTTCAAAGTAATTATTTGCACTCTTTTAGATGGGTGCGCCGCAAGCGCTTGATCCGCTCTAGAATCGTCTCCGATACACCACCTAGAGTTCAAATACAATCCCTACCGCTTCCTCCTATTTCAAACAGCGACGCCCAAGCGATGTCTCGATCGTCAAGTCGCAGTTCTGCACGCACCAAATCGCATTCACACAAAGCTGAAGTGGCCGCTGAAGGCTCTATTAGTGATCGGCCTTCTTTAGTCGGCATCGGATCGAAGATAAACAATGTAAATTTAGTTAGTATCTTTACTAATCCAAACAATCTACTGTTGCAATGGTTAACATTTGGTTTTTATTTAGATTGTTTTGCATCGCGCTCAATACCGCGCCAATGTGGTGCCGCATATTATTGAAAACCCGACAAGTGCTGCCGAAGTGTTTTACAATCCGCATCAGAGCACGGTTGCGCGGAAGTTCTTCAGGAGGCAGCGAAGAAACATGATGAAGCGCAATAATCTTCAACCCAAACCGCCCAGGGATGTAAACAGCGACGCCACGTCGGTATTTTCTGAACCGCGACTCCCAAAGAACAAAAACACTGAACAGAATATGTTTGGAACCAACTCAAAGGTAGTCGTTGTGGGATCAATCGGCAGAGCTGATGATTAATAATGTTTAATTCAGGTCAATAACACCAATATCCATGTGGAACATATCCGCAAGTTCCAAAGGAAGAATCCGAATATATTTTCGGACAGCGCCGACGAGTTTGAGTGCCTAAGTGATGTTCCAGTGGAGAAAATTGTTATCAATGCGGAGCGACTCAGGAAAAAAGGTTTTTACTGCAGCTATTTCCCGGGCTTTTAAAAATAACGTGGTCATTTCAGAAATGTCGAGGAATAAAACGCGCAAGAAGTCCAACGTGCCTCAAGAAAACATCAGCCCCGCTCAGATGCGCACAGTGTCTCAGCAGTGTACTTTGGACTATAGTTCGGAAAATCCACTGTCGGACTCTATTCTGGATAAGGGCGATCTCACATCGCCGTTATCGCCTACGCGGGCTTTACCAAGCTCGATGAAACATGTTAGAAACGTCTTACATGAAGACATACAACATTCGGACGTCACCGGCGCAACAGTTTCCTTCAACGTTCGGTGAGTAGTTAGGAACATTAATTTTCTGGAGTTTTGTGTAATTTAATTTAGGAGGCCCAACAGTCCTATGGAAGAATCTCATCAATATGTGGAAATAGGCGAATTGAGGAGCAGTGAATCTACGATTCGAGGAGGGAGGTTTGGCATCGGCGACAAAAACAGCCCACTTGCACGGTAAACTTCTGGTTGAACTTATTAACCGGATTTAATTTGTTTGTGATGGTTCTTTAGGCTGCGGTCTCCTTCAAATTTCTCGCGCGCCAGTAGTGCATCAGCTACAGATATAGACGAACTTTATCAGCAGATACGAAGAGGACCTTTACCGGGGAGGATGCGGCCAGGCCAGCACTTCTCTGTGGAATTTTCGCGTCCTCAAAGGGCCTATTCCAGTCCGTTTTTATCGGACTCGGAAGTAACCGGGTGTACGGATGATCGTCATCGTCCACAGAGCAAGTACCAAGAAGACGTAAGTTCAATTGATATCGAAACAACTGTTTAATGTAGACAGTTTTAGTTTAATTTGATTGCTGTCGTCAGACACTTATTTCTTAGGGTCCTAAATGCGAATATTTCAGTTCATTGGTTTATTTGTACTAACTGTAAGAACTATTAATAATTCGTAACAATCAATGATATTATGCAGTGTTGCGCTTAAGTGACAAATTAAAGCTAGTGCAGTGCTAATTTTGCTCTCTGGTCGGTATCTATCGGCAGCTGGTAGGTAACAAGGGTTTTCCGCCGAAGGAAAAAGCCTCTAGCAGCTGTTTTGACTAATGTAAGAATGCTCAAGCAAGTGTGCAATTTCCTGTGTGCATGATTATTCTACCTTGTGATTTTTAGTTTGTATTTTTATTTTTGCGCGCAACGCAGCATTTCACTTTTATTATTGCCAGTCTCATAGTTAAGGTCTATTCTGTCTGGAAACTTGAGTATTTATATACGAAAATCTGTGATATCAACGAAACTATTAGGTATAATTTTGTCGGTTTGGGGAGTGCTGATAAAGTCAGATCTGAGCCGTTTAGTTAGATTTTGAAGCCCTGTATCTTGCCATGTTTGGAAATCGGACAATTATTTGCAGTGTTTTATTTGATTGAGCATTTGGGCCCATATTTTTCTGGTGATTTCTTGCGAAGCGGTTTTAACATTTCTGTGTAGTTAGTTCGGCAAATGGTCTACAAATCTCGGAACTATCCGGGTATTGATAATAATGGTTCTGTTGATAATATTCATGAGGTTCCACTGTTAATGTGGTCCCCTTTTTCTCTTTATCGAAACTGCGGTTTTCTTAATTTTTCCAATATTTATTATACTATTTTGGTGCCGAACTTTTTTAACTGACTTTGTCGCAGCTCCCATTGTCAATGAATATGTACTCGTAACAGCACTATAAATTTACTCCTATACAAGATTTTGATACGGGATTTTGTCGTTAGTTCATTGAAGCTTTGCCTTATGTAAATGTGTCTAAGTTTAGGTAGATTTTAAGCGATTGATTCTAAATGTTTATGGTCAGCTTTAATCAGGATCAACTATTACCCAAGACTGCTCGTTGTCAATTTTTGTCCTTTGATTCAAAGGTTTTCTTTGATTTTCGTATTCTTTGCGATTGAAACTGATTTAAAGTTGTCCATCGACATCTTAGCTGTTGGGCGCATTAAGTAACATCCAAAACTGTGTTACTTTGTGCGGCCTGTTTTGATAAATTAGAAAATATACCCCCCCGATGTACAACATATTGATGTAAAGACTGTTGAAATAAGAGTATTATATAGATATATTTGTGAAACGCCACATAATAAAATATATATACAAACTCGCCTTAATAATGTGGGGAACCAGTCTGGATTGTTGTTGGAAAGGTTTGTCATGTGGGAATGCTGTTGATTGTGTTCACAATGATTTCTAAGGATTCGGAAAGTTCTTGTTCATTGATTATTAAAGGCGGGGCGAAACGAATTATGTCATCATGGGTGGGTTTTGCTAGCAGGCCTTTTTCTTTTAGTTGAAGGCAAACGTCCCAAGCCTCGGCGTAATCTAGAAAAAATTATAGGTAATACACAATGTTTGTGAGAAGGTTCAGCAGTCATTACTTCTGTTCATAACGATGGCATTCAAGAGCCCCTTGCCCCTGATTTCGCAGACAACTTTCTTGTTGATTCTACTGCTGAGTTCCTTTCGCATTATTTCGCCCATTTTGTAGGCGTTTTCGCTAATTCCTTCCTTTTCTAGAACGTCCAGAGATGCGATTGCCACTCGGCATCCGAGCGGGTTGCCACCAAAAGTCGATCCATGCGTACCTTGAATTGGCTATTCAATTTAAAAAATTATGCGGGCGTTTGTATTACCTGGCTCAATAACTAGCATGACTGAGTCGTCAGCTAAAGCTGCCGAAACTGGGTAAACTCCTCCTCCCAAGGCTTTGCCTAGCACCAGAATGTCGGGCTTAACGTCTTCATAGTCCACAGCTAATCGCTTCCCCGTTCTGCCCAATCCTGTTAGCACAGACTAATAGAAACTAAGACTTTCCAGATGGGATTTTTCTACCTGTTTGTATTTCATCAGCTATCCACAAAACGTTGTACTTAGTGCAAAGCTCCCTGATGCCTTTAAGGTAGCCCTCATCGGGCACTTTAATGCCAGCTTCGCCTTGGATGGGTTCCACCATGAATCCACACACCAATGGATCGCAAAGCGCGGTCTAAAATGCGAATTTCCTGATATTTATAATTTAATTTATAATCAGAACCATTTACCTCCAGCGCCTTTAAGTCGTTGTAGGGCACACAGGAGAAGCCAGGCATGAATGGCCCGTAGCCTTCGAAGCTGTCGGGATCCGTTGAAGCTGACACCGCAGCTAATGATCGGCCCCAGAAGTTCTCACTGCAGAAGATCAGCTTCGCCTGGTTTTTCGGGATGTTTTTTTTCTTGTAGCCCCATTTTCTGGCCAGTTTGCAAGCAGTGTCGTCGGCCTCCACGCCTTCAATTCAATATACAGGGTATAATAATAAGTGTTTCATTGCTTTGAGAGTAGGGGCATTAGCGTTGTGCGCTGTAGAATACCTCCTGCGTATAAACGGATGAGAAACTTTTGAAGAATTTTAACCATTTGAACCTGAAATTTCCTGCTGAATCATTTTACATTCCAGCTGAATATTGTGTGACCCTGTGCATTATACAGGGTGTTTCATACACAAGATGCTAAGTTCTGTGAATAAATCGTCATTGCGATTGAGTGATTTCCTTTCAATTGGTACAGGATCTAAATCATTCTGTATATGAATGAGGTTTGATCATTTTTGAATTTATGATAAATTACATCACAGTCTTTGTAATTCAGTGGTTTTAAAATAAATATACGCAAGTTTTATCGTCAAAGTATTTAAGTCTGCTAATTATATTTAGTGACTCGATTCGGCAAGTTCATCAGATAATTAGGCAAAAACCGAGCCGCAAGAAAGCAATTCCTGCAAAATTTCAGTTTTATTAACTGAATTCTGGGCTATTTTTGAACACTTGAACCGAGATCTGAAGAACTTTTCAATTAGATTATCTTTACCTGTATTCATTGGCAGCAATTTATCATACCCGAACAGTTTGGTAACTTTTTCGCTATATTCTCCCAGTACATCATTGAAAAACGCCCTGGAAGTGTGATGGAGGATTTTGGACTGTTTTTCCAGCGCTTCCAGGATTTTTGGATGGCAGTGGCCGAAATTATTGGCCGAGTATCCGCTCAGGTAGTCAAAGTAGCGTTTGCCCTCAACATCCCAAACGAAAACGCCTGGAATAGAGACGAAAATCAGCTCAAATTTATTTTTATTACGCGGCTGTTTGCATTAGAAATCGCTTGATCTTGGTAAAGTGATCATTAAATATTGGCTTAATTTAAGGAAAAACAAGCTCGGTCTTAAATGCACGGCTGTGGACGTCAGATTGCTCTCAAGGATTTCGAAAGTAAGTAAATAACAAAAACGAAAAACACTTTACGGCGAAAACAGTTTGTTGATCGTCAATAAGTTTCACTGTTTATTGATAATAACGATTATTGCATGCGTTCGGAATAGATTTTTATTTGTAATTGATTACCTTTGCCTTTACTCAATACGGCCGGTATGGGATGGTAGTTGTGCGCTGCATATTTGTCCTCTTTTTCAATTACCTCTTTACTGCTAATCAGCCTTAATTGTTCCCTGGACACCGGTCTGGTCAGTCGGCTGGCTACCCGGCACTTAGATAACATTTTTAACTGAAACCACACGAAAATCGTACAGGACAAATAACATAATTTCCGTCAAAATTATCTACCAAGGGGTTTATCTGGTCATCTTCAGGGCCCCACTGAGATAAGATTATGTATACAAGTAATACTCAAGAGAATGCACGTGAAAAACAGATTGTAAGTATTTTCAATGCACAGAAAGTTTAATTGCGGTAAAATTGAGTCCGGCTATTTGGGAGTAAACTCATTTTATATTGTTGCAAACTGAATTTAAAAAAAAAATTGCCAATAGTTATTTAGTGTATTTAGAAGATTGAATTCGAATCTTGTAGGACTACTTGAAATTTGAATTATCGCAAAAGTAGATCGTAGATCAAACTTTTATTTTTGATGCATTAAATAGAGAACATCAAGCTCTACAAATGAGAAAAATTCACTAACGGTGGAGTATTTCGATGCTTTTTGGCGAATTTTTGAAAACTGCCATATAGGTAGTGTCTGCCTGGCAGCCAAGTTTCTAGTCTTATTTCAAACATGAATTACTAAGAAAGTAGGCAATATCGAACATTTATTTGTTCACCATTAAATAGAGAAAATTCACCTCTAGAAATAAGGAAAATTCTGTTTTGGTTGAGTTTGAGTAATGTTGGCAAATTTTTGAAAACTACCATGTAGTGTCTGTCAGCGAAGTTCCTAGTCCTATTTTAAACTTGAGTAACCAGAAAACCAGGCATTATCAAACGTTTATTTTTCACTCGTTAAATAGAGAAAATCAAGCTCAAAGCAAGCAATAGGCAAGAAAAATTGGGTTTTCGTTGAGTATTTCGGAGATTTGTGGCGAATTTTTTAAAACTGCCATGTCAGCTAAGTTCGTAGTACGATTTCAATGTTCAATTACCACAAAAGTAGGCAAACAGAACGCTTATTTTACATTCATTAAATAGATAAAATCTAACTCTATAAATGAGAAAAATTCGATTTTGGTTGAATTTCGAAGTTTTTTGGGAATTTTTGAAAATTGCTATATTGAGTCGTCGGGCAAATTTCTGGGCCTATTTCAAACTTGAATTTCTGTAAAAGTAGCGAATATCGAACGTTTATTTTTAATCCGCTAAATAAACAAAACCATGCTCTATAAATAAGGAAAATTTTGTTTTGTTTGAGTATTTTGGAAATTTTTGGCGAATTTTTGAAAACTGCCAGCCAAGTTTCTATTTCAAGCTTAAATTTCCAGACAAGATCGAGTACAATTTATTTTACATCTGAATAGCAAATATCAAGCGCTTCAAATGAAGAAAATTCAGTTTTGGTCCAGTAATTTTGTGTATCCGTGTTGGCATTGGCAAATGAATAAGTTTAATAACCACGCTTTTATTGTTCCCTCTTGTGCAAGTTTCATCTAAGTTGCACCGCATTTCCTCTAAGTTGTACCTGCTAGTTTTTTCCTAGTTGTTGTTCATTAAATTGAAAACACTTTACCTTGCCACTAGCAAATTTTAACACTTTAAATGCGCTTTTTAAATTCACTTTTTAACTAAGAAAGTGTACGCACTGCACTCCTGGCTAATTTATGAATCTGATGTGTTTAGTGCTCAGAGCGAGCATTTTTGCTCATGATCACCACACGCAATTCCTCCGATTAAAAAGCCAAACAAACATTTCCAGAGTAAATATTTTGATGGGATTTTGTGGAGAAGCCCCGAAAATAATTGTATTGTGGTTGCTCACCCTTGGAAGCCCCTGAAGTCCAAAAAATCTCCGTTTAAGTAGTGACGCGTTTAGCTAATGGCAAACAATCAATTTGCTTATGCTGGTTTAGCTTAATAACATAAATGTTCACTTAACAGTTAAACGAATCGCGCTTGACTGAATGATGAGAAATCATGATGATGATTTTCTTGTTGCACCACGAATTGTTTGAAATAATCAACACAACGCAACATGTTTTCGGCCTTATGGAATATTAATGATTTTATAAATAGCCGTCTTTATTGTGGCTGTTTAGTGTTATTAAACAAACTTGCTTGAAAGGTCAGCCAGTCTGGACTTGTGTAGGTATTCTACAAATTCGCTCGGCGTGTCTAGTTGGGTTTTTACAAATGTATCAATCACAGTCAGTGAATGGCTACATTAATTATCACTTCGTCTTGCAAAATATAAACAGAAAATCGATTTTATTAAATTAATCAGTTTCTTGAACTGCTAATATCGCCAGTTTATTTACCTTCTTATCGCTGGCTTATTCCACTTTGCTTTGCACCAAGTCTACACTGTAGTGCGATTGATTCTGATATACAACTTATATTCATGTATATTTCTTATCACTAATGTCCGAAACATTCCGTGTTGGAGTATTTTTCAAGCCTTATCTGCGTACAATAAGGTGCGAGTCGAGGCAGGAGCGTAATTGTTTTTTCCCACAAAACCAACTTCAAAACTTCATTAAATCAGGCAAAAACAGAATTCATTGTATAATATTTATAATTCAAAGGATTTTTTTATTGGGAGTCATACAAAAACCGGAGATTTGCATATTTAAATCGCTCAGTCTAAACAGCATAAAATGTTGCTTTTTTCTTCATTTGAACCGCATAAGACTTCCGTAGTTTTGAGGTATGATTCTTGTAAAATTCACTTTTGACTCCTTCATATTCACTACTTTCCCATAAAATTTAGTTTGCACTGTTTACACACTGTTGCACAATTTTCGGATACATAAACTCCTTTAGGCGGAATTTCAACATTTCCGTGTCTAGTGGGCGTGGATTTAAGTAAAAATTACATTTTAATCTAGCCCTTTTTCATTGTTATGTAATTTCGTTTACGTATGATTGGTTAAATCAAGTCCCAACTACAATCAATGGGTGATAGATACGGACATCCTGCTGGCCAATAGGAGACAATTATTCGTTTATTTGCTTTCGGATTGGTCAGGACAAAGCAAAACAGTTTGCTACAAGAAGGCAGTGGCGTTCTTTGATATCTTATAGAAGAGTAGTAGATTTCAATGAGTAAAAAGTGATAGAAAACCGTTTTTCGACATGAAACACCACTAGGAAAAGTTGTTAGTTAAGGAATTATCTATGAAATGTGTATATTGGTGTAAACTATTTAATTCTCTAGATAATAAACAAACGAACGTTCGAATATCCATCGTTCGATTTTAGAACAAAATTGGAAACATGTGAAAAAGGCACGAAGAAATGTTTTCGAAATGCAAATATTTTATTTCCCAGTTTTACCACACCTCAAAATGACTCAGACGGAGAGCTTTATGCAGCAAAATGTGTTAAAACTCACGCTTTGCTAGTGAAACAATACCGCTTTTACTTGTGCGGATGGTAAGCGAAAAGCAATTTCTAGTTTCTTTATTGCCGACGTTTTGCAATGTTTAGTCATCCACAGGGCAGTCTAACATAAAATCGACCACACTCGAAACTTTATCCATCAAATCCGACGTCATTCCGCTAAAAACACCATGCATTTTCAAAAAAACATCACCAAACGCCAGTAAAGTCATTCATATTCATCACCCGTTAAACCTATTAAAGCACCAAAATTCCCAGTTAAATACCTACTGATCAACCTCATGAATAAATTGCAATCTTACACACAAGAGAGTTTTCGCTGGATTGTACGCACTTTTTGCAAAAAATATGATACCAGCGTGCTAGGAGACCTGGGCGGTGGAGTAGGTAAAGGCGGAGGAGGAGGCGGCTCTATAAGAGAAGCTGGAGGCTCCTTTGGTAAATGCGGTTTTCTAGAAGGTATAAGCTGTAAGTGCTAACATTTCAGGTAAGTTGGGAGCAGCTCGAGAAGAGGAGTATTTTCACAACCTGCAACAGCGACTGCTGATTGCGCTGAAGGAGAAATTAGACCAGGAGAACCAATTGCGATTGAACGAAATTGACCGCCACCAAAAGGCCATCAAAGACAATTCCAACTTAGCTCGGGAAATTCAGACAAAGCTTAAAAACTGTGCAACGCCTAAGTGAAGCTTGCACAATGTAAAGCAGCTCTTTTATCATTAAAAGATCCACACTGGGTAATTTTCCTTTAAAAACTTGTCCGCGTATGTGCCGTATCAGTTCCCCATGTCCAGCATGAACTTTTCGATATGCTTATCTGCTAAGGATTGAACTTACCCGAACAGTTCACAGACATCAAAAAATCTAAATGTGTTGTGGAATATTTTAACATTAAGGCGATTTTTCCAGCTTACACGAGGTAAAATCGCTACTATTAAAGTACATTGTTTGGCATCTATAATGCGGTCCAAAGTTTGCATGATTTTACGCTATAACCATTTCCATAAATTAACCGGTTGTAAATGGCTATTGTTGATTAAGGTGTGCAATTTAATGCGTTATCAGGAACTTTTTGTTATTACAATATCGTTTTTTGCAATTCGCTCGCCTTTGGATAGTTGGTAGTCACTCAAAACCCTAAAGGCAGGTAGGTAGGTGAAAACAAACAAAAAAATAATTATTAAATGTATTTGACAATAATAAAGTTTTTATAAAAAACCATTGCCTCTATTGGCGATATATTCAAAAATAAAGTAACGTATAGAGAATCTTAGAAGAAAATAATTTCAGTAAGTGCTTCAAAAGACGCAATGGCAGTCGGTCGTAGAAGTTCCTGATGAATCCTCCAGGCTTGATTAAAAATACATCGAATAAAAAACGCTCAGCAGAGAAATGAATAAATTTGCTTGAAATTAAACAGGAAATTAAACATCTACTAGCTACAACACTTCAACAATAAGTTACTTTTTGTCTAAATAAGTAATTATAAAAAATACTTCATTTAATTAAGTAAAACAATAAAATTCCATCTAACTAATCGAGTACTGTAGAGGTATTTGCAGTAAAGTAGCAGTACACTGGACCGTTCAGACAAGAATATTCAGGCGTTAAACCTTTCAAGGTGCGGCGGGCATTCTTTTCGGAACGTTTTCGACTCCAGAAGTAACACCGCACAACTATATAAGTAAATAACAGTCTCTAGGAACAAAAATGCGGGATTTCTTCTTAAATAGTACCAAACGAGTGGTGGCTCGACTCGGACCAGTCGAAACTTCAGCATTATCCTACACAGTTGTAATAAAATTATCGCATGGGCTATCTCTGGCTGCTTTTTAAGTATTTACAAGATGCTACGTTTTCTATTCATGTGGTGAGGGCCTTTTTCTTGTGGCGAGCCGCTACGGCCGCTACAAGCGCTGCTCCTCTTCCGGATCCATCTTCAGACAACATCAAATCAAACTGAAAAAAAAACAATCATCAATTCCTCTCAATTTTTAGTCTTTTCCAATTAAGCGCTCTATACAGGGTGAATCAGGGAAAAATGGAAATTTGCATCTTTACAGATAATACTTTTCGCATCTTGAAAAACCAAGACACCTTGCTGATGGTTTGTTTTAGAAATTGGCTTCTCAATCGCTCTAAATCACTTACATTTTAGAAATGTGCCATCCCTAAGACACTTCACTTGAAAAACCAAGACAAGTTAAAAAATGCACTTACCTCAATACTTGGATCGCACAATTCCCTGATTTTCTCCATCATCAAATTGCGGAAATGGGGATGGTAGCGGTAAACAGAGCCGTCTACTCCCACTGTGACTTTTTTCTCATCCATCTTGTGCAGAAGAGTGGTAATGGTGGCGGAAGCCAAATGGGCCGCCCTCCTGCTAATGCACTCGCATATGTACCGCACGTTCACGTAGTCTTGTTCAGTCGCATGCTTAAGCCCTGAAACAAGCACCAGAACTGACTGGCTGCGCCCTGAAGAGTACTTTAGTCGCTCTTACCTAGTTCTTCCAAGATCTGCTTTTGGTTGGTAAACAGTCCAGGTTCGTCGCTCTCAATTTCCGAAACGTACTTGGTGTAAAACCGCTTCCTCTCGAACAGCATGTCGGATCCTTTGCCGCCAAACAGCAGGCCTTCTTTGGTGAATTTCTCTAAAACTAATCTCACTAGCTCGCCCATGTACATCCCGGAGATCATTTTCTCTTGTCTGCAAACGAGGATTCGGGTCAGTTCAAATTGGCAGAATTGGCTAGTTGCTTACATCTGCTTGCCGGGATTTATGGAATTTCTGTCGACGTCCTTATCGTACTCAGAGCGAACGAAGTCCAGGCAACCATCGTCTCCAAAAGCGCCCATTTCCAGATTGATCATCACTTTTCCAGAACCGTTATCGACGTCGTCGAATAGTTCCGCGTTTTCCTGCCGTTCCACGTAACACCCATTGTTTCCAGTACCTAAATGAAAATTTCTTCTTGTGGTCATTTGCAATTCTATTACAAAAGCGGGAATTCAAGCGAGCCTTTTGCCTCAAAAACGGGGGGTTTGGTCGTCGTCGTCGCCTTCAAATCAATAGAAAGCGTGATGGATTTTCAACCCCCGATTTTTTTAGGCGACAATGCCAAACTGTTTAAATATACACTGTGTCCAATGTAAGAAGGGATACGAAGTTGGTCAAATGGGGCATAAGTTGAGCAATTAAAAGACTGGGGATTAATATGTATTTTGTTGCTTGAATGTTTGGTGAAAAAATCGAAATTTGCTTAATTCAATTCATTTTTGGGAGTGAAGATTAAAGCCCGAGTAGAACAGCCGGTACTTCGAAACTTTGCTGTTTCCTTTTCAAGAATCTATTTCACGCTGATTTGAAATTGCTGCAAGAAAATGTGTAGACTCTCAAGTTTTATTACTTCGCGACCATTGTTTGAAACTGATTTTTTAAATAACTTCTTTACGGCGTTTCGCTAGCACGAGTGGCTTCCATCTTCAGAGTGATTAAGCCCGTTTGATATTGAATACTGAGTGCGCTAAAACCCTAAAACTTTCTGTGGATGCGCCATTAAATACAATAAAAAGTACTCGACCTTGCCATGCGTCAATTAGCTTTTTATTATACGCTTTAATTGCCCTTTTCACGATTTAGTTTCAACCGATAAAAATACTGTAAACATTGGGAAATGTCGACTTAACTTTATTGTGTTTTTCGGAAACCGGCTATTTTTGGGCTGTGGACGAAAATATTTCTCTCTCGAAATCGATTTTTTTAGAATGTCATTTTCATAGAGCCAAAATTTGGGTTTTTGAGGCAAATTTGAGAAAATGCTTAAAGTATATTTTGAAGAACTGTCGTATGCATAAAAGCATTTTTCAATACTCCAAATGGCTTTGAAAATAAGGTGGTGATATGAGATGCGGCTAACGACCTATCAACTCTCCTAAGTCACTCTTTTATTCAAAAACTCCAAGTTTTTGCGGCAATTTCAGGAATTCCTCAAAGTACATTTTAAATCACTCTTTTAGCCGCAAAAGCGTTTTGAAATTTTCTAAGTGTCTTTAAAATTGCGGGTTTCAGACGAGATGCGCCTAGCGCCCTTTTCTAAGTCTAATCAACTTTTCTGCGTCTCAATTTTATTRGAAAATTCAAGTATTTGGGACAATTTTGAGAATTCCTCAAAGYACATTTTGAATCACTCWTTTARCMRCAAAAGCGYTTTKRAATTTTCTAARTRTCTTTAAAATTGCGGGTTTCAGACGAGATGCGCCTAGCGCCCTTTTCTAAGTCTAATCAACTTTTCTGCGTCTCAATTTTATTAGAAAATTCAAGTATTTGAGACAATTTTGAGAATTCCTCAAAGCACATTTTGAATCACTCTTTTAACAACAAAAGGGTTTTTGAATTTTCTAAATATCTTTAAAATTGCGGGTTTCATACGAGATGCGCCCAGCGCCCTTTTCTAAGCCTAGCCAACTTTTCTACGTCGATGTTGTACTCGAAAATTACAAGTTTTTGAGACTTTTTCGATATTCCCTCAAAGTGAATTTTATATCATTCTTTTCACCGCAAAAGCGTTTTTTTTATTTTTATAAATTTCTATAAAATTATGGGATTTATAAGAGATGCGCGTGCCCCTTTTTACGTCGCCGTTTTATTCGAAAATTCCAAGTTTTTGAAACTATTTTGAGATTTTCTCAAACCACATTTTAAAAAACCTAACTAAAAAATTATTTTTCAATTTTCGAAATGTCTTTAAGTTTAGGGGATTTACAAGAATTGCGCACTTATTAAGTCTAATCCACTTTTCTACTTTGCAGTTTTTTTAGAAAACCAACTATTTCGCGATTTGTTCAAAGCACATTTTAAATCACGTTTTTGCCGCAAAAGCAATTTTAAATTTCCCAAATGCCTTGAATGAAATTCAGAACAGATGCGCCTAATGGTTTGTTAAATTGCCGATTTATTTCCAAATTTCAACTTTTTGGGACAATTACAAAAATTCCTTAAAGCACATTTTAACACAATTTTCTTACACGAAAAAACACTTTTGAATTTCTAAATATCAGCTAAAGTATCAGTTTGATGCTTCAACGTTTTACTTTCCTGAAACCATCATCAACTTGGCTCTTTTAAAATACACTTCTGTTTTTTCACGGCCGCAAGGAAGTTTATGACGATTTCTTACGACCGAAACATCAAAGTAGAAACTGAGACTCTAGTTTCCTTTCAAAGAAGTTTTCCTGCATTCAACCGACTTCGTATTTTTTGGTCTTTCCAATATGCCCATCTTATCCTGGACGGTGTATAGACGCTCCATGCATGCAAGTTAGTTCTAAGCCACCCAGCAAGCATTAATTGAATAAATCAAGCTAAGCAACTGTTTCATTGGTTAAGCCATTTTAAAGAACTACTCTAGATGGTCAGCTCGACTAAATCCCAGTTACCCAACTACCATAACACAGCCACCTACCAACGATTAGTCCGATTCGACAGTCATGATTTTTCCATGCACAGGACATGAGAGTTCCGGTTGTATCATTCAAGATGGCACACACCTCGATATTTACGTCCTGAAAGAGAATGAAGCTCATGCAATATAAGGAAGCATCAGATCAGATGAGCCAAAAATAAAGTTTGCTGGTTTACCCCGGAATACCAAACATGCGGATCTAGAAAGAAAAGTTCCAACACCAAAAGACTACTGGTTTGAAACTCGTTACGATTTACGCCCCGTGCATTGCATGCTTAGATCGGATTCAAATGCCTGGACTGGCACTGTCCAGGACTTACCAATAATAATGCCAACTCTGCAATTTTTGTTCAACCAAGCGCACGACATTAGTGTGCCGGTAGAGTCGTTTAATACTGCCATGACGTCAATCGATACGTCCTGGAATATAAGTGATTGGTAACTATTTGGTGGGCGAAAAGTGTGGACACTGCCAAGCTATCTTCCCTCAATTAATGTCTATTTAAAGCGCGCTTGAACCAAGTCGAATTTGTGTATTTTCTACGTACACAGGCCAACCTTGAAGCATTCGACGCGAAATTGAAGTCACATGCGAATCGTTTCGCCAGTTTTCAGCTCAACTGGCGGTTATGTAAAACCGAGATCAAAAGAAATATCTAACGACGCATTTTGTTCAGGTGGACACACCTCTTCAAGAGTATCTTTAGATTGAAAATTTAATGCAGATTGCTTTCTACCCGCGCCTGGTGTGTCAGCGACAAGAAAGTCTGGAAGACTCCAGCAGTGTCCGTTAATCATTGAACGAAATTAGGGAAGCATGCTTACTCCTCTTCTATCGATAGCATCGTTCAGCATTTGCACCACATCGTTCCCAACAACATTGGAACAGTTGAAGCCTTTGGTCCATCTTTCCAGAATTCCCACTGTTAAACCTCGTTGGGACAGCGGAAAGCTGAAGGTGAATCCAAGCGGCAAAGTTTCATGTTGAACCTGAAATCCAAGGAAAAACCCTGTTAGAAATTGATCGTTTTGAATGTGTGTTTGCTACATTTTTTTTAAATTGGAATCAGTTGGAATGTTTGAGAGGTGAAAGTCTTTAGGGCGTTGGGCGCTTCTCAAATAACTCACAGGTTTTTGGAGATTTTATGAAATTGAAGCTCGGGGTTACGCATAAAAGGATTTTCTTTCAAATTGATCAAATTTTTCTAAAAAGTTCGGAATTTTTGAGGTAAAGGGTAGCTTAAGGAATTCGAGAGGGCCTTAAGCGCTTCTCAGGTAAATAGTGTGTTTTCTGGGGAATTGAAAAAATGTTTGGGCATATAGAGGATGTGCTTGAAGGATTGTAAAAATTTCCACAAAAACTGGGAATTTTCTATTGAAAACGCTACTTAAGAAAAGCATCAAACACATCTTTTATAACCAACGCGTTTTCAATGATATTTAAAAATTTGAAAAATGCTTTTGTGTATAAGCAAAAAATATTAGTGCTTTAATGCATTGTTGAAATTTTTCCAAAAACTTGGAATCAAGCAATTTTAAAAACATTTAGAAAATTTAAAAATCCTTTTGCTTGAGTTTTAAAATGTTTTCTAAAGGAAATCTTGAAAAGGTTTCAAAAATTTTCGAATGAAACAGCGGCGTAGAAAAAGGCACTAGGCGCATCTCCAATAAAACCCGTAATTTCAACGGCATTTAGAAAATTCAAAAACGCTTTTCTGGTTGAAAGAGTGATTTAAAATGTACTTTGAGGAATTCTCGTAATTGTCTCAAAAACTTGAATTTTCTAATAAAATTGAGACGCAGAAAAGTTGATTAGACTTAGAAAAGGGCGCTAGGCGCATCTCGTCTGAAACCCGCAATTTTAAAGAYAYTTAGAAAATTYMAAARCGCTTTTGYKGYTAAAWGAGTGATTCAAAATGTRCTTTGAGGAATTCTCAAAATTGTCCCAAATACTTGAATTTTCYAATAAAATTGAGACGCAGAAAAGTTGATTAGACTTAGAAAAGGGCGCTAGGCGCATCTCGTCTGAAACCCGCAATTTAAAAGACACTTAGAAAATTTCAAAGCGCTTTTGCGGCTAAATTTTAATTTAGCCGCAAAAGCCGATTTAAAATGTGCTTTGAGAAATTCCCGAAATTGCCTCAAAAACCTGGAGTTTTTGAATAAAAGAGTGACTTAGAAGAGTTGATCGGTCGTTAGCCGCATTTCATATCACCACTTTATTCTCAAAGCCATTTGGATAATAATAATAACTAATAAAACTGAGTCGGAGAAAAGTTGATTAGACTTAAAAAAGAGAATTAGGCGCATCTCGTATAAAACCCGTAATTTTAAAGACATTTGGAAAACTCAAAAACGCTTTTGTGGTTAAAAGAGTAATTTAAAATGTACTTTGAGCAATTTCCGAAATTTTCCCAAACACTTGGAATTTTTGAATAAAACTGCGACTTAAGGGAGTTGCTTGGTCGGAGGGCGCATCTCATATAACCACAGTATTTTCAAAGATATTTCAAATATTGAAAATTGCTTTTATGCATACAAGAGTCCTTTAAAATGTGTTTTAAGCATTTGCTCAAAATCGCCTCAAAACCCCAAAATTTTGCTTAGTGGAAATGACTAAAAAAATATTCTTAAATTTTTTTCATCTGCAATTATTGGAAGATTTCCGTCGATAAACTAACCTGTTCCTCCTTGACGAAAATTGCTAAGCACTCAGCAATGTGATCGAACAATTGTTCGCCCGATCCAAGCATGATATGTTCGGGAATGGCAAAAATTTTCGACTTCATTTCGAAGTGTTCACCGCTCAGCTCGATCAAAAGCACTCGGAAATTAGTGCCGCCCAGATCCAAAGCCAAAAACTTGCCGGTTTCTGAAAAACACAATAAAACAACTGTTAAGGTCGACATTTCCCAATGTTTACGGTATTTTTATCGGGTGAAACCAAGCCGTGAAAAGGGCAATTAAAGCGTCTAATAAAAGGCTAATTAGCGCGTGGCAAGGTCGATTACTTTTTATTGCATGCAATGGCGCATCTAAAAAAAATCGAAGAAAATCGATTTTGGGTCTTACCAGTTCCATCGGGTAAGTCCTGGACGTAAGTTGGGAAGCATTTGACGATGGAATCGGCATGTGTGGCCTTTCCCAAGCCTCGCTTGATGTTATCCAGGAAAATGGCCCCAATTTTTCTTAGAGTGTCGTTGTCATAGATCAACTCGCGGCATTTTTCTCTGATCTGAAACAGAAACAATTATCTAGTAATACTAGTAATACTGGCGCACCCAGTACTCGGCAATTCCGCGTATATTTAACATTAAAAAATCAGTTGAATATTGGAACCCGTTTGGTTTGGCAAATTAGAGGTCACGTTTTCGAATAGTGGTGCTAATTATTAAATATTTAAGCTCCTGGTCCAATGACATGTGATTTACAGCACACCCAAATACACTTGAAAAGCACATTTCCGCTTTTCAAAAATCAGCGAGATTATCTTGATCACGCAGCTTGAACAGAACGCAATTTGCTTAGAAGACTACGTGGTTTAAATCATGCAAAGATTGACAAAATCAATTTTCAAAGCCATTTAATTAGCACAAGATCGCAAATCAAGTTCAGTGACAATTGCATTTGAAGCCGCATGAACACAACACGAAGACGAAAAAAGCAGAAAACGTGCCGAGACGAAGGCACAATAACTAGCCAATGGTTTAATAAGCAACTTCATGTTTTGATCCCATCGGAATACTTGAAATTCCAATTACTCCAGGGCAGAAAACGTTCAACGGCTGCAGATATGCAAACAGCTACGTTTACATTGGTAACTGTGTTACTTGAGAGCAATAATATTGCGTAAAATACCTACATTTTTGCATATACCTAGACAAATTTGGGTCACCCTGTAAAGAGAAAATTTGCATTTTTCTTGGGAATAAAACCGGAAAAATAAAAGCGAATTCCTGTGAATTGTACGGTAGCATTTGAGCGACATTCCACTGCGTCTTCATTACTAATACTCGACTAAACAATTAACGCGTAATTTATTTATTATTTATACAGAGTGGAGCACATTTTCGCAATTCAATGTGGCTGATTATTTGCAGAACTGGTGCCTTATTGACGATTAAAAATGTCTACATTCATATTTTATTATTTGGCTTCTAATCCGTTGCCGGTTTGTCCCTGCCCATCCACTTGTCTGCGGATTAGTACGTTATGCGGACTTTCCACTCAGGCTGTTTAATCCATTTAATTATTGATACGAGGAAACCTTGGGAAATATCTTGATTAAACTTGCGTTTTATGGTGACAAGATTTTCTACGTTTTGTGTAGTTTTTCAAATGCGTCTTCCAAAGTCTTTATACCCATATATATACATATATTTTATTTGAGTGTCGGTCAGTGCTTTTTGGCCAAATGTTCCAAATATTTATGAATTTGAGTAAGTGATTGTGTGGAAATTTTAACGATAGTGATGACTTGGAAACACATTGGAAATTCCATTTAGTTGATAAAAGATAAACTGCCACAAATTGAATGAATCACTACAATTTCAGCAACTTTGAAGATCATAAAAGTGCCCACATCGTGCACGACTGAATCCGAAATACGCAATAAAATAAATGTTATATAATTAGATTGATATTTTAAAACATTGCGCGATATTTTCGGAACATTTACGCTTCCAGGCGCCACTAGGTAAAAGGAAAATTTACCGATTTTTGACCGATGAAATGGGCTCAAGGTTGTGGTTTTATTGCCTTCAGTTATTGTACCAAGTAATTTGTCGAAAATAAATTATAAAGATACTGAGCTTCCTTAACCGCTGCTGTGCTGCAGAGCTCCTTTAAGGAAAAAGGCTTTACCCTGAGTGGCCCGTACTTTGCTTGTATTTTCAAGCAATAAATGACAGAAAACCGCCAATGAATTGCGAATCACGCAAGGAAAGTCGCTTTCTCTAAGCAATAGACCACAAAACATTTTTTTTGAAGGTTTATAATATACAAAAATATATAAAAACTGCTGATAACTTTTTCAAAACCGCTCATACACGTCGAGAATTAGTATTTTTAAATGAAAATTAAATTTTATATATATTATACAGAGTGCAGGGGCAGATCCAGTTTTAAATTCAGGGGGGGGGGTTATGTAGAAAAAATACAGTCTTCTGTTGTCTATGAAATTAGAAAAATTATCGTCGTTTTGTGCACGGTGGCGCAAGATTATTGCAAAATTTCATGTTTTTCGTCCCGTTTTTGCTCATTTCTCGGAAGCAAAATGTGCAAAAATGCTCATTTTTACATCATCCGAAAGAGAACTTAATGGCCCTTTAAGAAAGTGAACCATCGATCACGAAATGTTGCGCTTTTCTCAAAAAAAGCTTGAATTCAAGAAGTTTTAGATTTGCGTGGTTTTTTTTGAGTTGCAAAATCCACTTGAACATGACGCTGCTTTTTTCGAAGTTTCTCAAGACCCATTTGAGCCACAGAATTCGTTTTGGCATCGTTGGATAGAAAATTGAAAAGTCGATTCAGTCGTAACAACGTTAGTGAGGAAATTCGAGTGGTTTTGACCCAGCAAGCGAAATTTTAATATCAGTCACTTAGGTGCAAGATTATGCCAAAATTTCATGTTTTCCGTCCCGTTTTTGCTCATATCTCGGAGGCAAAATGAGCAAGAACGCTCATTTGTACATCATTCT